AATCATAATAAATTTCACATTTCCATTTACATTTCATAATATTCATATATGAGAATAATAAAAGTGTTTGCACACTTACAAGATAATGCTTGACATTTGCATAACCCTTTCTCAATATCCAATAATGATATAATTGTTTAGGTCGTATGTTCTTTTGTTGTTATTTGATTTTTTAAAAAGATAAAGTACATATTATCATACAAATATATAAACAATATATTATAAACAATTAACAAACTGGGTTGCATACCGAGAATTCATCGATAGATTATATCAAACAAACTGTAACCACTCTTCATAACTGATAACATTTGCATATGTCGTTGGAGGATCTGCCAACAATTCAAAATTTTTAACGAACGGTAAAATATATTTGGTTGTCAATATGCTCTTAAAGTTTTTGAATGCTTTCCCAATCGATTGCAACACAAGCTTTTTATACTTGGTTGGGATGTTAAACAATTTCAATAAATATGATTAAATTAAATAAACTCAACACAATAATTCAATTCCATTAAAAATTAACAAAACTTTAGATTTTGTTGAATAAACATACTATAATCAAATCTTATATACTGTCTTTCCTATAATTAAGAATCATCTACCAACTAGGTTATGTAATTGATATACTCTGTCAGATGATAGCTCCAATGTGACTAGCCAACTTTGCACCTCCATTTAATATAGAATACCCATCTTGATTGAACTCCACATGAATTTTCATCCCACTCGTTTTAAGCGATTTGCCACGTCTTCTTGATTTTCTCTTTTTTAAAGCGGGTATATCATTTTCATGTTCAATAAAATGAAACATATGTTCTTCAGAAGCTATAATACTTGAGAATTTGATCACAATTACATGAAATACACCAAATTTTCTCTTTACATATCCACACAGTAAATACAACCAATATCCATTATAGTAAAAAAACCAATATACATTACACAGAACAAAACCAATAATATTATGCACTATACAAGCCATACTAAGTTTCATCATATCATAAAAGTCCATCCAAAACAAATAAAAACAAATATAAGACCTATTTTCCATAAAACCAATTGGTAAACCACAATACTCCAACCAAACAACCAAAAAGTAACCATGCGTGCATTGCAAGAAGGGTGTGATATGTTGGTGACAGTGGTTTATGCATATCTAAATAAATATATAAAATATATATAGTAAGGAAGAACAAAAAAAAAGTGGCATACATTGATGAATAAACAATGCACAAAAAGAAAAAAAAAACTTACTAGATTAAAACAATGTGCGACGGCATTGAGGGTATAATGGTTGGCGTCAACGAGGGAGATGAAAAACGAAAATGGAAAGTGAATAGGTTTATGGTTTTAGCCATTGAACTATTAAAGGCATTTTAGCCATTTGGTTTTTCAAGGTTCAAGAATGTAAAATGAATATTTTAAAAATTATCAATTACGACGTTTGTGTGTAACAAACGCCTTAATTGAGTTAAACAAATGGTTTTTATTTGTAGAGCAATTAAGGCATTTTTACAAATAAATGTCATATTTGATAAAAAAAAGTAATCAATTAAGGAGTTCACTTTGAAAATCGCCTTAATTGACTTGAGCAAATAAGGCGTTCACCATTAGAAACGCCAACATGATCAATTAAGGTGTTCATATATACAAACGCCTTATTTGATCATGTTTTTATAAATTATAACAAATTATCAATTAAGGCGTTCATAATGAGACATGCCTTAATTGATCATGTTTTATAAATTAAATTTAATATATCATTTAAAGTTTTCATAGTAACAAATGCTTTAATTGATGATGTTTTACAAAATATAAAATTGTCAATTAAGATGTTCATGTTAACAAACTCCTTATATGATGATGTTTTATAAATTATAAAATTAATAATTAAGACGATCATATTAACAAACCTCTTAATTGTTGATATTTTATAAATAAAAAAAGTCAATTAAAATATTTGTTTTCTTTTTTTTTTTTTGGCTGCTAAAGGTATCTTTTATCATTTGAGAATTGATTATTAATAAAACAAAATGAAAGGTTGCCTCAAGCTTGTCAAATAAATTATAGTAATTATATAAGAATTACTAAATATAGATTCTCTTCAATTAAATGAATGAATTTGAATACGAGATATCTTAAAAATCAAACAAAACTTCAAGTATTGCACTTTTTCAAGTATCATGTTTTTCTCTTAATTTTAAGATTTTACGTATCAAATACCTCTAAAAAAATTGAGTTTGAAAGTTCAATTTCGATGCTAAGAATGGTTTATGTGGCTTATTGTTAATTTTTCCCAACCTTTTGGTATAAATTTCCCTTTTTGGATGAAAGGACACTATTCAATGGAATGCAAAGAATCTGCTGCTGTGGATGCTGGTGATAGTCAACCTCTTTACTCTACCACGAGAGATTGTAATGAAGATGATTATCAAAGTAAATTCCAAATTTCCATGTTTCTTATTGAAAGACTACACTTTTGGGGAGAAGCATGCAACAGACAAACTCTTGCCGTACTCTAAAAATTTGGTTTTTGAAGTGGCTCTGATTGATATGGGATTCATTTCAGGGATACAATATCTGATTGTCACCGGTGTATCTGTAATTCTACTTAAAAGGTACATTTAGATGATGAAGAAATTAGTTTTAGAGAAAATAAAAACAATGAAAGTGATAAAATTAATTATTATAATGTTGAGATTAAAATTAATAGTGATATATATATTTGGATATAAAAATAATTGTAATAATAAAATATAATATAATAAAAAATTGAATATTAAGAACATTAATCTAAAAATGTAATACAAAATTATTTATATATATTTTTTAATATTAATTAACATTTAAAATCTTAAAAAATTTATTCAATCAAAATATTGACATTAAAATAATAAATAAAATTTTAAATATTAAAAATGATTTGAAATCAAAAATGAAAATGTAAATAACCAAAAAAAAAAAGGCAAAAACTATAAATGATTAGGGGTATTCTGCCAAAAAAAAAAAAGGCAGGGACGTGAGGGTACGAATGGTGATCGGAGGTTCCAATGCAATCAGAGAGGACTCACCCTTGCCAGAACATGAGACTCAAACATCTTTCGGTGGCGATTGAAGCTCCAAGTCGTGCCAGAGATAATCTGAGATCCAAATGCACCCTTAAATTAGTTTTTTATGGATGATTGCGATAACCTTAACAGGATTATTTTGATGGTTTACTAAATTGTTATCCGATGCAAAAGAAACCATGGATTGAAGGCTGCCAACTTACTGGAACGAAACCCCCAAAAGCTGACTAGAAATTGTAGCATCTGCAATTCTTGTTATTTTCTTTTGGGGGTTGGTTCTTTTCTTGCATCCCTAATTTTGTCTTGCTTCCTTGAGAGCATCTTTGCTAGTCATCTTTATCCTTTGATGTTAATAAGCAAAGCTTCTATTGGACAAAATGACACATGCATTCTAGTATTGGATCAAATAAAAAAAGATGAATAAACAATCTGTTTCTGACTCATTCATACGACGACAATCAACGATTCAATCTGTTCTGACCAATAACTATGAAGACATCGAAAATGTAACACCTGCACCTTTTTGACAGTTAAATCAGCTATGGACACTACTAAACCAGACAAATCAGTGATGCTGAAAGCATCTCAATCCGTAGTGAGCACTGGATTGCTTCTGGCTATATCTATTGGCCTGGAAATGAACAATGCTGCACTAGAAGTATTAGCTGTCAACTAAATCTCCCTATATTAACCTGACTCTGTATGGTGCTACGAACAAAAATTATAAACTTAGCAATTATAAATTAAAGATGCCACCGGTCATTCATATAGCAAGAGAAGACAAATCTTCACAACACACGAATCGTTACACTTTGCAAAATAGGCCGTTAATTGCAATTAACCATCTCATAACATTTGAATGCACCCAATTTCATCCATACAAACAGCTCAATCAGTAAATATTCTGGGAAAAACCAAAAATCTTCAGAAGACTGATGCGGCTGTTTTTATGTTCCAGCAACTCCAAGCACAAATTCAAGTTACCAGACCCGAAAATCTACACATGCACCACAGATTAACTGCAACAAAGAAAAGTTAAACAGGGAGGGGAAAAAAGAGAAGAATAAGAGAAAACACTTCAGGCTTTTGCTACTCTACAAAAGAGCTATTGCCTGAACCAGTTTTGTCAAACTTTTCACCCTACAAACACTTTTGCATTAAGCTGTCACTTGCACCTCTTCTAACTAAAGTTCCGTAGCCAGAGATCTTCAGTTTCAACCATTTTTTGGAGGCGAAACAAAAAAGGATATCTGCATTAGAGAAAAAGAGAAACAGTAAATCGTACAAAGTAGCACTGATGCTTGGTATGGCATTTAATAACCATATGAATAACATACGCCAGTAATAAAAAATGATAAACTTGATTAACAATTACATTAAGTGCTCTGTGTCATATAACTAACATTTTTCTCTATTACCAGCCTTTTTGACTTTTTAACATTCTCTATTTTAATGTGATCCAGACAACCCTTCAATCTGAATCCTGAGAGAGAGCTAGATAGATCTTGGAAGGTGTTTTCCTTTATTTTAGGAACCTGGATCAGTGGATCATCAAATGCAATAATGAGCATTTCATGATTGGCTTGACAAAAATGGCTTGTAATGATAATTCTGATAATGACACACATTTCTACCACCCAAAAGCTGACAATTCACTTGCAAATTTTTTATTAATATCAAAAGCATATTCAGACTGGACTAGATACTTGAAAATGCCGAAACCTTCTAAAAGTATACACAGAGAGAAGTAGCAACCATTAATAATTAAGAACATCATGTACTCTTGTTACTAAATTAAGAACATCATGTACTCTTGTTACTAATGGCACATCTTTGCAATGGTATACTGTAGTCAGCTGAAGTCATTAAATTGATTTATTCCTACGCTCAAAACCACATATTGGCAGAACCTAGAGCAAAGTCATGAAAATAAATGTACTTTATTGATATCATAAATATAGATATGCACTACTGAGCACAAACACCAGAAAATCACCAACCATTCAATCGATAATAAGAAATTAGAACCAAAAATAATTCTATTCAGCTGACCTTGGTAAAGACTTTTAAGCCATAATAAATGAGCTGCAACCATCACATTTTGTGGACATGAACTTTGCTTTGTTCTCCGTTGACTTAAGAATCTGGAAAGAACACACCGGCTTTTCATCTACACTCGTCATTGCACCAGCATTATCAAATTCACCACAGTAGTTAGGTGCTGAAAATATTGTAAAAAGTTTCTCATCAGCAAAGAATTCGTAACCATCCTCCACAACCTACACCAAAATAATCAGTTCAGCATTAACATAGAAAAGCATTAAATAGATGAACACGGAACTTTAGCCAAACCAATAACCTGATCCGCGCGGCAGACAAGATCTAAATCATGCTTCATTGAGAATTCTGACACCTTGTCTGCACCAAAGCTCTATGAAACTCCTCTGTCATTCATTCCCCATCCTTTAACATCTCTACCAGGGTCAGGCCTAGAATCTGACCGTCGTCTTTTCCTTCGACTACCATGAAATTCATTGGAATCTTCAAATCTTCATCGGAAAGTTCATCCTAAACCTAGAAATTTCTCAAAAAAATTCAAAAAAATTAAAAATTCTCAAAATTCACCAAAAATCTAGAAGTTAAACACAAACCTAGAAAAAATTTCCCAAAAACCTCCACTGACCTATTTCAAAATCTATGAACTGAATTCAATAACCTATGCTCTTCAAAAAAATTGCAAGTTAACTCAAACCCCTAAATAGAAATTAAATTCTAAACTACACCTTGAAAACCCCAGACTTAGAACAATTCCTAGAAACTCCTAGAAAATCCACCATAAAATCAACCTGGAACAAGAAACCAAAAATAAAAACTTTTAATTGCTTTGAGTTCCCTCTTGCTAAGAATTTCCTCTTTTTTTGTGTCATTTTTCTATGTGGTTGATTCCATTCTTATATTGATTTAATCCTTTTAATTCTGGAAAATATCAATTCAAAATTGTGATTTTGTTTGATAAATCTATTTTGATTTTAATCTCCTTTGACTTTCCAATTCATTGAAGATTGGGATCCAAAATTTTCATGAATTATTCAATTCTCAAGAATCAAATTTGAGATTGAATCCAATTAAAATTCTCATTTTTTTTGTTTTCCCTTTTTTTTTTTTTACTTTAAAATAATAATAATAAAAACTAACCAAAAATCAAATTAAACTTAAAATTAAAAATTTTCATGTTGAGCCCAAAGCTTCACAATTGACTTAATTGACAATTGAAGGGCCATTTCAATTCTAGAGAAACTCTCACACTAAATGAGATATTTATAGTTGCCTCTCTTTGTGCATTTTCTGTGAAATAAAAATTTCACAAGGATATTGATACCCACTACATCTAGGACCAAATCAATATATTTTTTTCAAAGAATCCTTTAAATAAAGGTATGAACTTTTGAAAACTTTTAAAGAACTCCTCTAAACAGAGGTTTAACAATTGTAAATTAAGAAATTTAGGCTAAACAACTTTAAAAACTTTAATTAGGAAATGTCAAAAGATATACATTTTGCTCAGGTTCAAAAAAATTGAAAATTCAAAAAATTTTAGCTTGAAATCCAAAATTTTACAATTTGGAAATTCAAGGATTTGTGTCAAAGATTTGCAAGGTTCCGTAATATAAATTAAAAGATTCTAAGACTCCAAGTTTCACAAAAAGTTAAGATTCACAAAGGTTTGCAAGAATTTCAAGTTTCACAAAATTTCAAAAGTTCTTAAATGATTCAAAACTTTTAAAGGTTCTAGATTCGCAAAGATTTCAAGTTTCGCAAAGGTTCCAGATTCATAAAATTTTTAAGTTTCGCTAAAGTTTTAGATTCACAAAAATTTTAAGTTTCATAGAGGTTCTAGATTCATAAGGTTTTAAATTTTGTAGAGATTCTAGATTTACAAAGATTTCAGATTCGTAAAGACTTTCAAATTTACAAGAATTTAAAGATTTGTAAAACAAAGATTCGTAAGACAGATCATATTCAAAAGATTTTTGTTAGTGATTCACATCCAAAATTTTAAAGTTTCACATTTGAAAAATTCATAGATTTTCATCAAAGATTTCAAGGCTTATAACCAGAATTCAAAGATTCTCATTCGAAAGTTTTAGGGTTTCACATCCAAAAGTTAAAGATTTTCCTTTGAAAAACTTAGAGATTCACATTTTAAATTTAAAAAAATTCATATTTAAAAACTATAATATTTCACAACTAAAATTTTAAAAATTTTGATTCGAAAAATTTTGAGGTTTCACATCTACAATTTCAAATATTTACATTTGAAAAATTTTAGAATTTCAGGTCCAAAGTTTTAAAGGTTCTTTTTTAAAAACTTTATGGCTTTAAGTCCAAAATTTTATAGATTCTCATTCGAATAAATTTTTTGGGTTTCGCATCTAAAATTTTAAAGATTCTCATTCAAAAAGCTCATTTAAGCAAAGGCTCTATACCTTTAAAAGTTTGAAAAGCTTCCCTTGTCAAAAAAATCTTATCATGAAAGATCTTCATCATTCGAGGGTTCAAGACTAAAAAACTTTCTCCAATCAAAATCAAATTCTTGTATGTGACAAATGTCATGTAAATGCTATCTAAATGATGCAAATGTAATAATCTATATTCTCACTAAATGATGCAAATGCATCTATTAAACAATAATGCATATGCCATAAGATGATGCAAATGCATACATCAACCATGATGCAAATGCAAATATTAAGGATTCAAATATTCATCCAATTATATATGTACAATGTAAACACAATGTAAGTAATGCATATGTCATTAAATCAATGCTATAAAATTTTAATCGTGGTAACAAGGTTTTCAAGACTCCATCACAATCTTAGAACAAATTCTATCTACTAAACCATGTTATCTTCCTCATCTGATCCTAACTCATAGGTTATATCGACCAATCTATCACAGTATTCATCTTTGGGTTACTTCATTTGCACTTTTCAAATCATTTTCTCAAGCTTCTTTCACTTCAGTCATCTAGATTTCCTTCAAAAGAATGGAAAAATCTTTTATGGACATTGTTATTCACTTGTTTATCATCATTTTAATTCATGACAAATATGATACATTTTCTCAATTCATTCAGGAGATCACATTTAGCAAAGAATAAGAAAATTGGGTATTCATTATCAAAAGGAAGTCTGGTCAAGAATAAATCAAAACACAAAAATACTGTGTCTGCTTAAATGGGATACTAACATCCAAAATAATGACTGGTTGACAATTTTGAACTTCAACTTAGAATTCTTTCTTAAAAACACATTTCATTGATATTCTTGATCTTTGAGCCAAACCTCATCCATATTCTTGGGATCTTCAAAAGAAATTATTTTTTCAAGTTTTTACTTAAATCACCTTTTTGGGTTTTTAGTTTAAGTCTTCCTTTTTTTTATTTTTTCACTTTTTTTGCACATATTTTTTGTTATCTTTCTTTTCATTTCTCTTTCCCTTTGATCCATCAGTGACACTTTGATCTCAATGTCCAACAATTTAATGGCAAATTTACCTTAGTTCAATTTATGATTCTCTAATTCGAATATTCACATTTGATCAAAATAGACTTTTAAGGGACGTAACGTAGGCTAGGGTGAGGGGTTACGAAAGAAATAGATAAAATAATCCTAAATTATGTTTAAAGGATAATCAAACAAATGATCATTTCTTTCCATGTAGAGCACTGTGACATTTTTCTCCATTAATTTCTTTTTTTTCTTTTTTTCACTTTTTTTTTTGCACTTTCCATAATTTTTCAAAAAGATTTGAGTACTATGAACCTAGAATCTGGCTATTGCCTTTTCTTCTGGCTGTCATGAAACTTGCCAAAATTTTCAAATCTTCATTAGAAAGTTCATCTTAAACCTATAAATTTTCAGAAAAACAAAAAATTTTCAAAATTCACCAAAAATCTCAAAGTCAAATGAAAACCCAAAAAAAATTTCCAAAAAACCTCCACTAACCTATTCCAAAATCTATGAACTAAATTTAATAACCCATGTGTCATAACGATTTTGAAATTGCTGGACAATTAAAATTTTAAAATCATGAAAAACGGGAGAGTCGTCACCAATATTTTTTTTAAGTACGATTGATCACCTAAAAAGTTTATCTTTTTAATAAAGCAATAAAAACATGTTTAAAGTTTATCAAAAAGATAATTTTTTATCTATAAAAGTATAATTGGGCTAAGGAGTTGGTTAAGTATCGGGAAAGATTAACACCCCTATTATGCCCATAAAAATTGGTACCCATTAATCATGTGTTATTTTTTGTATGCGATAAAATGGTTTCGATTTGAAATTTAATAATAATTCCCTTCATTTTTTGAAGAAAAAAAATCAATTTCATTAAAAAGTTTTGTTTAGGAATATTGTGGAACTCTTTAAGTTAAGGAATTACTTTCAAAGTTTTTGACATTTAGGCAGAACTTTAAAGATAACTCTTTTCTTCAAAACTTTACCATGACATCCCTTGAAAAGGAAAATAACATTCTTTGCAAAATATAATTACTGGTGACTCTCCAACATCTAGGCAGAGTACTAAAAATTATTTCTCTCGGGATGTTATTTTTGCTTTATTTTAAAATTTTAGTTTTCAAATAATATTTTTCATAAAAATATATTTTAGACAAAAAACTAATGATGCTACAATTAATTAAAAAATAATAGTAAAATGCACAAACATGCAAAATGAATGCAAATAATAATAAACAAATGTGTATATGCCAATAGATGACATGCATGGGGATGAAATGTCAATTTAAAATCGAGTTCTTAAATATAATGAAACCACTTGGACTCCTTAACCTCTAGGCAAAGTTTAGGTACAATTATTGATATTTAAGATCTCATTTTTTATTTTTTTATTTTACTTAATCTTATTATTATTGCAGATTAAGGATTTGTACGAAAAAAATTGATGAAATAAAATTTTTTAAATACCCCATACTTTAGGCAGCATTAAAAAATAAATTACTTCATGTGAGATTTTTATACATATCTTTAGAATTTTGGGATAGTTTTGGATGTGGGCTATGGTCAAAATTTTAAGGTTTGAATGATTTTTGGATGATGATTTAGGATTGAGAGTCGAATTTCAGATATCGTGTGAAATTTAGGATCTTGATGGATCCATAGGATTTAGGGTCTCATTATATGGTTTTAAAGTTTCAAGGTTTCAAGGTTTTGGATTTTAGGGTTTTGGTTTTGAGATTTTGAAGTTTCGAGGTTTTAGGGTTTTGAAGGTCTTAGGGTTTTAGATTTTGCGGTTTCGAAGGATTTGAAGGTTTTGAGGGTATAGGGTTTTGAGGCTTTGAAGGTTTATAGGGTTTTAGGGTTTTTGAAGTTTTTGGATTTTTAGGTTTTCGAAATTTTAGGGTTTTATAGTTTTGGATTAGGGTTTTGAGGTTTTTTACTTTGAGAAAAATGAGAATCATTAATA